GTCTTCTTGCCAATACTGGCCCGATATCGGCCCGGTCTTCTTGCCAATACTGGCCCGATATCGGCCCGGTCTTCTTGCCAATACTGGCCCGATATTGGCCCTGTCTTCTTGCCAATACTGGCCCAATATGAATGCCGAACACTGGTGAACAAACGGGCCAATATTGGGCTGTTATAAAATACAAAAATGGGACAATACTGGGCCAATTGTCAATATCGAGTATCGGCTATAAAGGTTGGGCCATTGTTGGCCTAGTAGTATTACTGGAAGTCTGTCGGCAATTCCTACATGGGCGTCGTTTGTCTTTGTCGGTTGCTTTCTACATAAATAGGTACATAAATTCCGTACATACATTAGCGCGTTATGGAACTGGATGGACTCTATGCGCGGCATAGTAATTCATTGTCCGTTAAATCGCCCCGTTCGTTGTAATGACGTCGGTGGAATGAGAAAACCCGTTTTACGAGGCGACGTGTGCGCATATATTGCGCCGTCGTTTTATTGCACTTATCCGGCGTTTTCGTCAAGGAAGCCGCCGCGGCCACGCGAACGTCAACGGAATCGGGAGCGTATGTTAATTTATCACCACCTTTTACGATCCATAATCCCCCAAGCGAGCGAGCGAGCGAGCGCGCGCGCCGCTTTTGTTAACGTCGCGCAGACGAGATAACGGCGAGGATGACGACGACGTTGTTCCGAATTATGATAAAAGCGCGTCCGATTTATACAAGCTAACTTTAAACCGCTTCATTGTTGCTGCGTTCTCCCGCGAAACGAGTTTTCCGCGATGAAAGAGAGACAGAGACTCATTTTCTGACGAAAGATTATTCTGTCTGTTTCAGAAATAATGAAGAGAGAGGCCGAGGCAGGCGCCATGACAGGTTCCGGGGGTCCGACAAGTCCTCACAAGCGTTATCGACAAGGTGACGATGAGCTCCGTCTTCTCATCCCCAGTAAGGTAAGCGTCGATCGATATAAAGCAATATCGGAAAAAATGAAAAATTTACATATCTCGCGACGATACGTAAAAAAATTTAGTTTGAGATCTTTTACCTTTTAATTTTTTAGACTTTTCTTTTTTGTCTTATATTATTTATTGGTCAGAGCGTTAGTCACGAAAGTGCTCGAGGAATGCGGAAGCTGTCGCGTGTTCGGTGTTTCAGAAATGACGACGGCAACGCCTCGCTCTCGACGAGCAGCGCATAAACGCGCACAATGTGGACGTCGCGGACGCGCTTCCCACGTGCTTCTCCCGCCGTACACTGGGTCAACTGTATTTTCTAGTCACGCGTGTTCGAGAGTCCGTCGATTTTCGCTATTGTACGCTTGCGCTGGTTGACTGTCAAAGACGGTAACGGTTCCCATATGCGCAACAACCGAGGGACCAGCTCCGGCACGTCCGCTCCGTCGCAGAACAGCCGGAGCTCTTCCGGTCATTGTCGCCACGCTCGGCGAACCGTTATCGGTTTCTCTCTCGGCAATAGTCCGCTTTCTTTTCCACACGCGGGAAAAATTCCCGGAATATTTCGTGCGCGAAAACTCTCGAGTTACAGCGCTAACGAGAAATTCGCTCGCATCGCGAAGGCGAGTTTTGCGCTTCTCCCTCTTCTTTCTCTCGTTTTCTTTCTTCGACGCCGAGAAGTTACCTCAGAACTATAACCCTTCCATCTTCGCCGCCGATACATCGCCGAGCCGGATGCTTCTCGGCTGGGCGGATATTTCTTGCGCCATCGTTTCCTCCGCGGTACAATAAGACGCAGAAGGCGAATATCGCGATTGCAGCCGCCCGCTTTCGAGGGCATCGAGAGAGAAGTAATATCGCGAATCGAGGTCTATTCTGTATATACCTCCTTTCGCTTCGGTATAATGATTGATTGTAGCATCGCGAGGGGGAAAACGCATCGCTCGTTTCTTAGATTTCGCTTTTGTTCGACGTATTTTCGGCGTATATACTGCTTCGTCGACTAGAGTTTTATTGCGAAACGATTTAGAGTGAGAGCTCTGGTACGCTTTTCTGATTTTTATTTAAAACCAATTTTTTTTTTTTTTTTATATTCGCAGAATCACATCGAAACGAAATAAATGGGGTCAAACACGAGCAAAAATAATATCGATATCTTTATTCTGTCAATAATTCGCACGTTTAAATTCGAATGTTCAAATTTCAACTTGGGTTTTTATCAGAAACCTAGAAAAAATATAAAATAAAATAAAAACCTCGATCTCTCGCTAATATTAAACTGACGCTAATTATATTAAAATGACTCAGGCGCAAATTTCGCACACATCGACGATGCGCTCAATTATTAAAATACTTCCGCCGTGTGCTCCGCATAATCCTGCAAACAGTTCGCGCCCCCGTGCACGTTAATAAGCTTAATTGAATTGAATGACCGATCGTCTCGTGGGAGCGAAGATAAGCACGTCATCATCGTGCCGTGTCTCGACACGCGAACGTTCGAAAAAAGTCAACGCCGCGTGAAATAATATCCGGCGTAGCCGGTGAGTCGGGCGGTGTAATAAGTCGCGGTTGTGTTTACCGCGCTTAATTATCGCGAAGTTGTCCGTGATAAATTAGCGAGAGGAGATTCGCGAAACATGACGTTCGCATCGTCGTTCGATGCTACGATGGCAAGATCTTGGCTTCGTGACATCATTACGAACGGCCGTGGCACGATCGCGTCTGTTAATTTCGTAATGGAGAACAACGTGTCCACCACCACTGTGTCGAGGTGATGGTGGTGGTGGTGCGCGATTTAATCGCCGCCACGAGGACGCCTTATTGCGATCCGGTCGGTCAGGCACGAACAACGCCGCGCTCGATCGCGATCGAAGCCTACGTTAAATCGACTACGTCATCTCGAGCGCGTCAGGGACGACGATCTGGGCACTGCACGTTGAATACTCGAGCGCTTACAATAGGCGGGATTTATGATTATTTGAAAAATATTGTTGAAAAAGTTGGTTGATAATCGAGAATTCGCCCTGAAGAATAAATTCGCGAGATTAATTTATCTTCTCATTTGCAAAGTTTTATCATCGTCGGGCGAAGGACAAACGCGCGGCATTGTCGGGATGAAGATATATATCTGCGCGCTTTACTGCATAAATAACTGCATTCCTACGTCACCGCGTCATAATGTACAACCCGCGCGCATCGAAGCGCGTCCTTGAGCCTCTCCCTCGCGGAGGAGAGAGAAAGTGTTAATCGCCGGACAATGTTGGAGGTTATTTAATTAACTGTCACTACGTGATGAATCTGTCATTAAAACCCTCCCCCCCGGGGGGGAAACTCGCGTGGCGTAACGAATCCGGCAAAAAGATTTTAATTCGACACGTTTGCGCGGTCGCGTTTACGACGATTCTGTGTGAAAATTATTTCACTTTTTACGAGAAGTAAAAAAAAAAAACCACAATGAAGTCGCGTTTCTCTGGACGCTACGTTGCGCGCACGTCGGAAGTTGTGAGGTAAAATTTAAAACTCCAACTAGAAGAAATACACGTCTTTATCGCCGAGCATCGGACGAACTCGCGGAGAAAGCGAAATGCTGTGGCGCAACTGGGAACGGAGACTCGGGCAAGTGGAATTTCCGTATTTCATTCTCATTATCCGTCCCGAGACGGATTATCTCACTTGCAGAGATGTACATTTTTCGCTTAAAATAAATATTTACCGTTGCCGGTTGCGACTCTCAACGAGCCGCGTGGAAACTTCTGGTTGAAGTTGCGGACAAATCACGCGGGGGATGGGTTTATTGTGCCAGTTTCACCGAATACACCGGTGGAAGTGGAGATAAATATTTGGAAGTGTAATTTTGTTTATCGTATTTTTGATTTATTATTTATTTTTCTCTTCTTTTTTTTCTAATTAAACACTCGAAAGAAAAAGAGCCATGAGATATCGCGAAAATTAATATTTAGCGAGAAAAAAAAACAAATATCGTAAAACTATGCTCGACGCTCCCTGTTGTCAAAATGATTGTTTTCTGTTGCAGGTTGCTGGTTCGATAATCGGCAAGGGTGGCCAGAACATAACGAAACTCAGAAGTCAGGTAAGCGTTTAGGCTTCCGCTCGTTCGTAGTTTCGCAAATTAGTTTTGTTCTCTTCGTCCTTCGTTCGTCTTCGTTCTCGCGCGGAAACGAACGGAAGATGAGGATCGCGTACAAATTAATCAAACAGAAGATCGTGAAAAAAACTGTATCAATAATATCCAAGGAATTTTCTTGCGTTGCGTTTTCGCGCGTAAAACGAAAACGCGCTGTTTTTCCGATCTTCTGATTATTAAATACATACGTCGTATGTTTTATAGTTTTTAATTACATTACGTATCAAATTTTCAGTTGATTGAGAGTCATTTTCGTTTCGTTTCATCAGTTTATTCCTCAGCGACTTCTCGCCGCGCGGCTTGCTGTTCGTGTAGCAAAATTTTTATCAATTAAATCGCGGGCTACTTTGCATTTGACAATTTTTGCATTTAAACTTATCTTGCGCACATGTATGCGGATCGATGACACGAGTGCCCTTAACGGGGCAACGTAATTACCTCTCTCTTTCTCTCTCTCTCTCTCTCCTCTCTCTCTCTCTTTCTCTTTCTCTCTCCGGCTCGCCCTTGAACATTTTAACCTCGTTTGTCCTCTAAAATAATTACGGCTCATGTTATTACGGCACGCGGAAAACGGATGTGAAGATTCATGTAATTTGTATCAAAAGCGAGGGAGCCGCACGCGCGCGCGCGCGCGCAAAAGGCTTTGTCGCGAGAATTTGTTTCGCCCGGGTGCTCGTGTCGTTTTCCAAAAAGACCGTCGCCGCCGTATCCGCGTACAAGCTTCATTATGCATTTGGTTCTTGAAACACGCGGGAGGAATTTTCCACGCCTCTTGCGTATGTACATCTTTTTGTGTATCAATATTTCATGAGAAACCGTTCGTTATTTTCTTGGTTGAACGAAGGCCTTTCGTTTCGGCTGGTACCTTCGCTCGATCCGATTTTAGTTTCGCGATTGTATAATATTTATATAATATATATATATATATATATATTTCAATGAAAATTGATCGATGGCGAAAGAACTCGTCCTCCTATGTTCAACATGACGAAGGTAAAGTCGACGATGGTGGACGAATTCTCTCGCGCTCGTTCGTGCGCGTGATCGATACATCGTGTGCTATTTCGGTGCAACGTTAACCAGAAACCACGTCGAGTCTCTCTCACTCTCTCCTTTTCTCTCTCTTTCTCTTTTTCTCTCTCTCTCTCTTTCTATCTCTCTCTTTCTCTTTTGATCGTGCCTATGCGACAAGCGACCGAGACTCGTCGCTCTGCTTTTCGAACCAAATGAGTACATGAATGTGCAGCACATACATTTATTCTTAATATTCACGAGTCGTAAAGCTACTTTGTCAGCGTTGAGTGACTCACAATCAATTCAGCGGACTTAGTAAAAAAAAAAAAAAAAAAAGTTGTAAGCTTCAAATAAAAAAGACGGCGAGTATTATCGCAACTTCATTAGCCAGCAAAATCGGCAGATATCGTATTTCGCGTGTGAGAAACAATGTTCTCACGAGATATCATTTTAAAGTTTGATAGTAGTTTATATGCCGAAAGAGAAGAAAAGAATTTTCTAAAAAAGAATTTCGGGTATGTGTGATTAGATGTCTGCCGATTTTTTTTTTTTTTTCACGTAGTTTATCTCATCATCAACCATCGCGTAAAATGTAAGTCGATGTTCTGTGATGTCGATGACACACCTTCGCTCGTAAAGCGAAGGAGACACACCATGAGACTGTGTGTTCGTAACTGCCAATAATAAACTCCGCGATGCGATTGCGATATACCATTGCGTTACTTGCATTATTATCTTCAGGTCATGATAGCGAGGGGGGGAGGGCTCTCGATGGGGATTTTTGCGCACTTTTTAGTCGCTGTGCAATATTGAAATGCACTTGAGGGAGGAATGGGGGATGGGAGGGGAGAGGAAGAAAATCTCCAGAGGATATCTCGCGCGTTTAGGACGTCGCTTGTTTCAATCGCCGTGCGATTGTCGTTGTTAATCAGTCGAACACCTATACGCCGTAATTAACGACTGTGTTAAACGATATTCGGCACGTCGAAACGAAGCACGTTCAGTTCGTTCCGAAACGTTCCGTGCGCACGCACGTCCTTCGTTCGGATGCACTAGCTTCTCGCGATTACTGTGTTTTTAAATACCCGTCGACACGCGAAACGCGTCCTCCAAACTCGATGGGCCCACGCCACACGGTCCGCGTCTTCCAAACGGGATACAAACACGAGAAAACACAGTAGCGAGAAACACCACCTCTGAGATTCCACGCGGCTGCGTGTCCCAAGACGGAAAGATTGGATACAGCACTTCTTGGGACAATAATTGAAATTTTGTTTCGCTCTCGGATCGATGAATGAAATATAATTCTTGCTTTTTGTGTGTGTGCGATACGAAAATTACGTAAAAAGATTTAACACGTTCCCTGTCGTTGTTTGTCTGGAAAAATTGTTAGTCGCAATCATTACGATTTTTAATAATTTTGTTTGACGTAGTTATGCGGTGATATCAATAAAAAATCTCAGTTATCTGCCAATGTAAGATGCAAGACAACTTTTTACGTCGTCGGAAAATGGAGTAAAAAAATTATTCACGCGTCATTGTTACGTCAATTTCTCATAAGAATAATCGTCGCGCACAAATATAAGTACAAACGCACGGCAGCGCGAACGTGTTAAATTACTTATATATTGAATGTACAATCAAATCGATTTATATAGATATATATTATCCGTGTTGTTAATTAATCAATTTTGGATTTTAATTAATGTAATTTGTACACGACTCAGCGGACAGAATAAATACACGTAGGACGTAATTATTATGTCGGTTATATTATAATAACGATTAATCAATTTAATAGCTCGAAAATGGGAGCTGTGCGTTGTTTAATGTAATAAGTATCTTAAATTTATTTTACTCGACAAATGGCGCGCAATCCGCTTACCATTGTTCCCCGAGAAGTGCCGTATCCGAGAGAAGCCAGAGCGGAGAGGATCTCTTAGCGATTCATTTCTAGTTTGCGCTGCTCTCCTGGCGGTTTTCTGCGGGACCCTCTTTTACGCGAAAATCCCCTGCCGCTTTGTGGAGTTTCATGGTTCGAGCGGCGCGCGCGGACGCTTCGGCAAACTTCCATGGGCGACAGAAAACTCGATGTTTGACGGCTGCTCTTTGGTTGCGCGTTGAAAAATATTGAAAAGTCGTGTACGCGCACGGGAAACAAATTTTTAAATGTGCAATTGACAAATCGAACGGAATTTTATACGCGGACGGGATACACGGGCGCGATGTGTGTATACATTTCTCAAAGAAGAACGATCGGGGAAAAATAAAAGTTATCGCGCGATTTTTCATCGCCGGGCGCGAAGTTATTTCCGTTCGCGCGAAACTCGACGGAACTATTGCGCATTTATTGCGGCGGCGTGTTCCCGCCTCTCTTCGCGGAAGTTTCCGGAACCGCGCGTAGATAAAAGTTTTTCCGGAAAACGCTTGTATCATTTAGGAATCCGCAACGCGGTTCAACGGAACGCTTAATAAACTTCTTCTCGTTTAAAGATTAAAAACTTGTACTTGGTTAAAGGCGTTTAGCGCGCTTCGTTAGCAATTGAAATATTCCTCGGGCCGTTGTCGGAGCGCGGAGTGACGTCAATTAACTGGCGCGACGGGAGAGGAAAATTATTCGAGTGTGCCTTCAGAATTCTTAATAGCTTCGGGTGGAGCTCAGAGGGAAAGAAGGGAGAGAGGGAGCGATAGTGGCTCGCGGTCTCTGCCCGGATGATACAAGTACTACGTTTGTCGACTAAGCACCTTTTTCTCGTAAAGAAGAGCAGCAACTCCGCTGTAACTCTCCGCGAGAGTTCCCTTCTCGTCAATTGTACACACATTGCGAAAGAATCAGCCGTTCTCGAGAGTCGAAATCTTAAATCTAATAATCGCAGCCGACGTCGACGAATAAAACACGTCAATTTCTCGCGACGCCGCAATCCTCGCGAAAATTGCGCGATGCCGAACGAGTTGTCGTTCGTTAACAACGATTTTTCATCGCCCCGACTTGCCAATATTTTTTTTCGCTCTCTTCGCAGCCGATCCGTGTTAAAGGGGTTGCTTGTAGGACGTGGGTGGGTAATATTCTTGTCGTAGAGCGGAGCGCGGGTGGAAAAAAAAAAAAAGAGAAGAGGGGAGGGTTGTTGTTAGGAGGTTAAGCCGCGAAAATTAATTCAGCCGTCAGACGTGATGTCTAACTTGGTTGATGATTTGTGCCCTGGCCCCGCCCCAACCCCGGCGTTGCCCCCTATGGCGTTGCCCTGCCGTTGCCCTGCCGTTGCCCTGCCCGGAACGACGGACCCCGACTCAATCGGCAAATGGACCACCACGACCCTACCAACAATCGACAACAACCAACCAACCACCAATGAACCAACCACCAACCACCACGGCCCAATCGACAGTACAAAGCCTCAATCATTGTACCCGATTGCCCCGGACCCGAACGGTAATGACCAACACCAACTACTTAATGTTTCTTATTTTTCTTTGTCTCTAATTACGAGGTATATTACCTATTTGAAGCGCCTGCGGAAAACCTGGCGTGACAAAACGAATCTCTCTCTCTCTCTATCTTTTTCTCTCTTTTTTTCTATATATAATCTATTTTTTTTATTTTTTTATTTTTACACCGTTATTCTTTTCACCTTTCGTAATCTATATTTTATGTACTACTACTCTATTCTACATAGTTTATGTACTACTACTTTTTTCTTTTCTTTTCTACTGTCAATCCGTCTCATTGTCTGTTTAGAAAAAATCCATTTTGTCTGTCTGTCTGTCTGTCTATTTCTGTTAATGTCTTTTCTCTCTCTTTTCTTTCTTTCTTTCTTTCTTTCTTTTTCTGTGACATCGTCTTTTTTCTTTCCGTCGTGTATTTACGTGCTAATCGCGACGACTGTTCACTCTCGCGATACATTGTCTACTTCCGCGTTTCTGTTTCTTTCGTTTTTCTAGCGCGTGTTCTCTCAGACGCTAATTTTTGCTCGTATTGTACGCTTGTAATTTGTAGAATTTTTTCTCGCGGGTTAAAATAGTAAAAACTCTGCGAAAAAAAAAAAGTCAAGTCTCGGTTGGATTGTAAAGCAGCGTTCTCCTTCGCACGGCTTCGAATGAGAAACCGTGGCCGACACGAGTGAAAGCCGCTGGATGCAGCTCGTGACTGCACCTGCTGTTGGCACGCGGTTGCATGAATCGTCGCTTGTGCATTGCCGCGTCGCATCGGAACGCAGCGACTCTCGCGCCGTTTCGCGCCACTCGTGTGAATCACAGATTGATTTAATCCAATCTCCATTCAATCCGCGCAACAAAAAAACAAAAAAAAAAAACAAAAAAAAATCAAAAATGATTTCAAAAAAAAAAAAAAAATAACAAACCAACACGTCGCCAATTCTAGCGCCAGATTGATGGAGATCAAGCTCTTGCAATCGCCAAAATGCGTTTTCTTCTAAAACTGTGCGACGCGAGGACAGACGCAGAGAAATTGTTTGCAAATTTTTGTCTTTAAAACTTTTTTAGAGAGAGAACATTTGTGTTTTTTCAGCGTAACTCTGCGTATAACGAGGATCTCGCTGATTTTCCGAGCGACTGTCATGTTACACTCGTTTTTCTTTTTCTCTGTCTGTCTCTTTCTGTCTTTTTCCTGTCTCACGCGCTGTTCTTCTTGTTTTCAGTAAGTTTTTTTTTCTTTGTTTTTTTTTTTCCTGCGCAAGCGCCACGTAATGAGACGCGTGCGAATATCACTCGACACCCACACACGTTATATACACCACACGTTACGATGTCGGGAATATGTTACAAACGGTGTCTGTAATATGTGGCTAACACGGAAGCTAATATATGTGGTATGTGACGCACTCGGCTCTAGAGCCGGATCTGTATTGCCGATTGTTTATCGCGTTGAAAATACGTTTTTTTTATGATATATTAAAACAATTTTTTAAAATTGTAAAATTTTTAATATTAAAAAATATATATATACGTCGAAAAATAATGTTGCATTTCGATCGATTAAATTGCGAGGAAGAATGAATTTCATGTACATGGCAACTTCGGAATATTCCGTTCCGTGGATCAATTAAGCCGTAATTTTCAACGCGACAAAACGCCCTCGATGTAAGATATTCGGCTCCGATAAGTGGTTGTCCCATTTAGAAATATTCCGGCGTGATGAATTAACTCGCTAAGTCGAAAGTCATTATCAACTTCTCTGTGAACTAAATCGCCGCGACGCTTATGCGAATCCCATCAAAGAGAGAACACTTTCATATAATAGCGTAATAATAGTTCAAACTTGCGTAATGAACTCGCGTACGGTCGTTGTCTTTCGCGCTCGATCGTGTCTCTGTCTCTTCGCGCTCGATTATCGTCGAATTGCGTTTAAATATCGTCGTCACGCCTCGATACACACCCGCCGTTTTCTTTCCTACGAAATTATGTCGCGCACACAACACATGGGGGCATTAACTGGAAATTTATCTTCGTTCTGGGACGGCAATAAAATGTTTTTATCGCTGCCGTTAAAGCTCTCCTCGAAAAACGTCCCTAATGCGACTTCTATTCGCGGTCACACGATCCTCGGCCGGGAATTTCGCCGAGGCGCACGAAGAGAAACTTCCAAGAAGAAGAATCTCGAATAATCATGAGAACGAAGACACAGGACTTTAGGAATATCGGACGATTTCCAGAACAAAGCAAAATCTCGAGTGGATCAATCGAAACATTCGACGAAAAAAGAGAAGAGCGATATCGTAATATTTATTTATTAACTTTTTGGCGTTTGATGATTTTTATACGTGAGTTTCAAACGTGATATTGTTTTCGAAAAAAAAAAAATAATGATAATGATAATGATAATTTTTCCGCCGGATTATATCGTTCTCGCATTTTTCAACCGAAACCGCGAATCCGTTCCGTAAAAAGACAAATCTTCAGCGTTATCTCACAGACCTTAAAACTCTTCTCACTTTTCTTGCCTCTCGTAGACCGATGTGTTCAAGTGTTACGTGATCTGTAGCTTTCTGCGTAGATTTTCGTGTGTCCGGTCCTCTCGGAGGGGGTGAATTTCGATCAATCACCATCTCTCTCCGTAACCGTATTCATCATACCGTGTCACTTTCTTGTTTTGCCGTTTTTCACCTTTAGAATATATCGGCGATTCTGTCATATATATATATCTCTCTCGACTTTTCTCTAATCGATCTCGTCGGTTTCCATCAGTCGGAGTCGATCAGTGTAACTACTTATCCTGTTTTGTCCTTGAAATGGGTTCAACTAGGAAAGCAAGGTGATGGGGCAACTCTTTCGAGAATATCGATCTCGAGATTTTCTCAAGAGCGCTCTAATAATTAACGCAAATTGAACGCAATTAACATGTGTAGTAGTAGTAGTAGTAGTTGTTGTTTTTTTTTTTTTTTTCTTTAAATATACGCGTAGGATTTTTAATTAAACGAAGTCACAGAGAAACGAACACTTTGTGTCCGCGGTATCACAGGAAGGAAATAATTTTCGCGACAGGAGCGCGATCACTTCGCGAGTTAAATTGCCGACCGGATGCTTCTCTCGCGGAAACCGAGGCAGAACGTTTAAAAAGAACAGTACGTGCGAGAAACGTTCGTGATATATTCAGTCGAATGGAAGATACGCGGAGACTCTCGTTATAACGAAGGAAGGAAAACGGAAGTGGACGACGTGAGGATTAAAGGTGGGAAGGGGTTGCGTCGGAGAAAAAGAGAGAAATGAAATCTTTCTCGCACACATGGGGGTGGATTCGTGCCGGTCGTCGTCCCCGAAAAAGTTCCGTGTTTGTTTTCAATCGTGAGGAGTGATGAGAGCGGGAACTCGCGGTTGCAACTTTTAAAGCCGCAGAGGAAGAAACGGATATCTCGTTCCCCTTTTTCGAAATGAATACGTAAAATATATAGATGGCGGAAGAACGCAAGTAAACGGTCGATTATCTGGTTTTTTTGGAACAAATAAATCGAAGTAATTAAAGAAAAATAATCGTCCCCGCGCGAACAATGAAGCACGTTTTAAAGAGAGATGGAAACAAAAAACCAAATATAAATGTCACGTTTTTCTCACCGCGAAGATGGGGAAGATATTCGGGTTCTTCTCGCTCTCTCTCTCTCTTTCTCTCTCTCTCTTTCTCTCTTCGAATTGTTTAATTCTCTTTTTTTTGCCAGCGACGATTCAACAAACGAAGCGACCGAATCGGTGCAGGTGGCGAATCGGACCGCGTTTCTCTCGCGAGACGGCGCGCGATAACTCGCTCCCGTAAAACACGATCATTCCGATCGACGCGCGCGCGATGTGATTGAAGCTGGATGAATGCGGGTCGAAAAAATAGAAGGGAGAAGAGAGTGAATCGAGCACGGTCGAGCGTTGTCGCGATTGCACGCGAGCGCGTTCTCGAAACTCGCGAATATATATTGATTTTTTCCTACCGCGTATAACTAATCGTCAAAATTATCATGAAATGAACTAATCGCGACGAACAAACACTGACTCGTTTCGCTAACATTAATTCGGTGTGCGTTTTCCGGAAAAACACAGGCGACGTGTGTGTGCGCGCGCGCGCGTTCGATGACAGGTTAATCCGGAAATTTACTGCGGAGTTATTAACGAAGAACGGTGTTAATTTCGCGGTCGCATCCGCGTTATGAATGGCGAGCATAATGGCGTTCGGTTTGCGGTGACCGACACTCCGGTGCGAGATGTGCATCCGCGAATCCGTGGAACGTTCATTAAATTTTTGTCGGTTTTAATGCGTAGGCGTCGCGCATTATTCATCGTTAAATGTCACCGCGAAAATGTAGTTGATACGAGGATTAAACATATGTTTATGAAATATAAACAGTAATGTTTCGGAACCGCGCGCGCGACCGGAAAGCTGATGATTAATAAAACGAACGCGCATCCAGCTCCGATCGACCCGCACCCAGTTAATTACTCTCGACTATATTTCGTCGAGAGGGGAAAGAGGAATTTCATCGGTTGTACCGCTCGGTTCGAAGCGGCCGTTAACGGGTGATGCCGAAGTATGCACGCGGAAGAAAAGAAAATGGGAAGTTAGGCAGCATCGCTGGTTGATGTTTTTTTAACACATGCGCGAACGCGTATCCGTTATTATACTACGCACGAACGTCATTTCGCACGGGATCTCTTTCTCTCTGTATGATCAAATAGCACGTAAACGCGAATCACGCCTCACCGGTGTGTTATTTAAACGGGCCGGCGTAATTCTGGGGGTTCTTCTGATTCTAGGGTGCTCACCATCAGTTCGGACCTGCCCACTGTTCTCCAAGTGTTGAATGAAGTTGTACCTAATTTGGAAGAGGTGAGCGTTTAAATTATTTCTGTCACAAGATTTTGTTTTAATTATTTTGTGTGTTCGTGTATTCGCTTTTGGAGGTGGTTGTTGTGTAATTTTTCGATTCCGATTCAAGTAATTTCGGTAAAAAAAAATAGAAGACGAAAAAATTTGATCGGAAATCCGCAATTCCGCAAAAATTGATACACGACGGCTCTGTGATCGTTCGTACGATAATGTTGCGCTCGTCAAAACAAAATGTGCGATTTACTTTCACTAAGTGGAGGCAACTAAAATTTCCATTTATTGTAGCCGCAATTTCAGAACGGCTCCCGTCATGGCAGCGACGAGATCGATGTGCGCATGCTGGTGCACCAGAGCCAAGCGGGCTGCATCATCGGAAAAGGAGGTCTGAAGATCAAGGAGCTCCGTGAGGTGAGTCACTCGTTAATTAGTCACGACTCGTAAAATGACATAACGCGGTTTCTGCCGCGCTCTCTCGACGAGCAAGTTTGTTGTGCATGTTTCGCGATGGTGCAATTTTGCAATAAAGTTACGAGGCTTTAACGGTCAGTTCGTGCGGGAATCAGCAGCCGTCGAGAAGCGCGAATTGGAAATCGAGAACGAAAGGTGAACGAGCGTTGAAACAAAAAAAAAAAAAAAACAAAAATAAAAACACAAGTAAAATAATAATTCAAATCTTTTGCGATCAAAGTGACAAAGTAAAAAACAAAACAAAAAAACCATCTCGCGAATCCTTTTGCATCTTTAAACTACAAGTCATTTGACGAGCTTCGTCATTCCTCTCTTTTCCTTGCGCATATTTAACTTCTCAATTAATGCGACGCGTCAAAGCGATGGTGCAACAGATTGGAAGTACGTACTATATCCGAAGCTTTGTAGTAACTCGAGTTTTTTTTTATCTCGTTAACGATTCGCCGAGACGATTTGCGAAGTTTTGCGATGAACACAAACATCGCGCGATCGGTTTAAAGACTTCGGTATATTAACTTATTAACAAAGTGAGACACAGGAGCGCTTTGGAACTTCCAAGTAAGATTATTTTATAAATGTACTTATTGTTTCTCTCGCAGAGTTTGATATTACGTGCGCGATGAAATTTTCTCGTCTCTCTCTCGTGCACGTCGTAATAAGATTAACACGAATAAGACGAAAATTAATTAACGTTAGAGAAATATATGTCGTGCAAATTGCACGCGCGGTGTGTGAGATAAAATTATCGATACGCGTTTTTTAGAAACTCGTATTTAGCAACGATAGGAGAATATCCGCCTTTTCTCCTTTTACGCGGCGAGTAACACAAAGCGGCACAACAATCGAGTTTCCTTTAATTAGCAATCTCTTCCCGACATCGTGGCCTCGATTTTACATAACGAGCTTCATACTCGTCCGGAGTTTTCCGAGCGAAGGGCCTCGGCCCGACTGGTCTGCCAGTCGGGTTCTTTCTGAAATATGCAACGTGGCCAAGTGGCTCGTTACGTTTCCGCGAGAAACAAAACCGAATCGACCGACGACGTTGCTTTTGTCTATCCCCCCTGGCTGGAATCGAGTGCTCGAGTTTGAGTGTCGTGACTCGAGTAGAGTTTTCTTCCGTTGTCCTTCTCTCTGTCTCTTTCGCTCGACCGATCGATTTTGTTTCTCTTCTCGCTTGTTCTCGCGCGTGATTCCAGCGATTTCGTGATGTTACGTGCAATTCGAAAGGTCGATGATTACGAAACACGATGATGGCGTAGCAGCGATCGTTTCGCGAGATACATTTTTTTTTTGTTATATAGTCGGTTATTGCGATATTTAATTCAATTTATTTATTTATTTATTTATTTTCCTCCATCGTCGTTTTATCGTGCTCGGTTCTGCGAGCGAGAATTCGGCGAGCTATTCCATATGGCGCCTGTGTACGCCGGAGCAGCGCGGAATAACGTTGTTTGGCAATTTGCTGTGAAACTTATTCGTAATTTCGTCAGCCTTAACATCCTCCCACGGTGAAGAGCAGCGGCGGAGATATTTAGTCTATTAGAGTTTAGTTAACTGCTGCGTTGGGATAATACATTTAAACATTTCGCTCGAGGGAAGAAGAAGAAGAAGAAGAAGAGTCCGGGAACAATCGAATTTTGTAAAGCGCTATCGTAGGAACGTATACGTTCCTACAATAGCGTAAAAAAAAAAAAAGAAACCTATAAACTCTCCAATGATCTTTTCAGTCGGCAAATTGCATAGCACACGCTTTTTCTCGGACGAGAGAAATTCCACGAGCACGGCGGCGAATATTCGTTTATTCGGCGACACTGAATGAGCAATCACAAAATGTGTGACGGATTCGCAATGTACTTCAAAGAACGCGGGGATGTTCATTGAATTTTGTTGATAAAAAAAAAAAAAAAAAAAAAAGCGCTGTGTGTGTGACGTCAGATAATAAAAGCAGCCGCCGCTAGTCAGACAAATCCTTTATACCCCCTTCGGAACGAGGAGGCGGAAGACACGGCACCGCCACTCGGCGACATCGCCGAGTCGTTTTATTTCGATTCGCGGGGGGGGTCTCTGTGGGTAGGGGTAACTTTATTGATTTTGAACGGGATTCCAGCGCGCTCTCGGGGTTTTTTTTTTTTCTTCCTCTCATCGGGCGTCATCTAGGATTCCGTTGCGCTGCCAGAAAACGTGCGGCTTTTCGATCGCCGTCGTCGGAGCGAGAAGGTAAGGATTTGTACGGGTTGTTTATTATTCCGCGCGAGCACGGTACGCGCAATTGTCCCGAGTTCTCTATTCTTTCCGATCGCGCCGGAACGAAAAACGTTTTTTCGCCGGTCGATCTTGTACAAGCGCAAAAAAAAAAAAAAAAATCGGTGGGATCGTCAAAATGCGCTCCTGCAATTTGCTGTAAATTTGTCGCGCGAGAACGTCGACACACCTCGCTCTATTCACCGTGTGAATTATTTTGCGACCGATATATATATATATATATATATGTACATGTTGTAGGGCGTGCGTGCGAATTCGTTTTACGCGAAAATCGGTATATACGCGCGGTGTGAGAATTATTATGACGATAAACGGTCGAAATCGATCGACCGTTATTCGTGCGCGCCCGAATTATTACCGCGCTAATTAAACCCTCGAGTTCGCATTCGCTCGATAATACACGGCGTGGCAAGATGCGATTCCGATTGACAATGCGCGCGGAACAATTTCACGCGCATTTGCGCGTGAATGACACGAAACACATTCAAGTCCCTTTAATCTCCGGGTAACGTTTGCGCGCGCGTGCCTCGTGTCTGAAAGTTCGCATTCGTAGCTCGTCGTTTCGTAACATTCGCTCTTGCAACTAGGAGAAGCACCCGTGAATTCCCGATGGCGCACCCGAGAGGTTCATGCAAATAGAATAACTGATAGGACGGGGATACTTCTTGATAACGACGTCCGAAGAATGTGAAAAGAATACGAGATGCCGCGAGAAAATATGCGCGACACAAAGCGCGGCTGTGTGACACACGAGACATGTATTGCGCGAATGTGCATACATTGAATCTGTGAGTATAATGCGAACACGACGATACACACTTTGAATGTTTCAGAAAGTCTGAGTAATCGGTGCGCGGTGTTTATAAAAACCAAAGAACGAGCAAATTATCGAATCGATTCGACGCGCCGGTCTTTTGATCAAGTCTTTGTTGTTCGCGGTGGATAATTATTTCCTTCGCTTTTTTAAACAAATGTGTCGTGCGCGCGTTATATTAACATTTCCGAAATAATATTTGAATAAACATTTAAAATATTAAATCGAATTTGAAATTTATATTTAATGGATTTTCGCGCTTGTCGTATCTTTCGCGCAATTAATCTGTCGACTATTCCCGACGTATTTTACACATCCGCGGAATTTTATAAATATTCTACTGCGATTGATACAATGCAGACACGAAAATTTCGATGTTAAATGTGTGATCGAAACTACCGCATTGTTACAATACTACGAAAAAGAAGAAGAGAGAAAGAGAAAAAGAGAGAAAAACGTGACAATCGGTTGCAACCGTGCAAAATTCGACGTTATATACGCGACCTATCAATTGAGATAAAATTTCCATCTCGGAGAGCGTCCGTTTAAATTTGCAAAGGTTTCCCCGCGTGTGCGCGATCGTTTGCTCGCTCGCTCGCTCGCTCGCTCGATAATAAAACGTCAGAATTCGTTGTACATATCCGTGCGTCAAAGCGAGCGTGTTCGATCACGTCAGCCCGATAGATAAAAATGCTCTTTGGTGTATAACACGCGCCGATGCTTCGCCGTTTGAGAGCCGGAATCGTCAATTCGCGTTGCGCAACGCGCGCGCGAGATTAACGCACGTTCGTCATTCGTACGCACTTTATGCGCTTGCGAAACATGATCTCTTCCGCCTTTCCGGGGAAGAAGTTAATAGGCGTGTGTGTATATAGTTCGCGTATCGAACGTCGGGCTTAAGTATCGTAGAAACGTACAACGTCGTTCTAACGCGCAACGCCATATGTCCACTTTGGGTAGCCGATGATTAGGCGCTCGCAATGTTCAGATCTTCGCGTGCTAACCACACGTGCGTGTCATCAGGAAAGCGCGCATTCTGTCGCGCGAATATACGTGCTGCGGTATCTATTACAACCTATGTGTGTGTGTGTGTAATCCACATACAAAGCACGGAAATTGCGTAGCCTCGTTCGCGTCGCAGTTATCTTCATCTTGTCGATGCGTCATTATCTCGATGCGTATTGCGTATCACCGATCGCATTAATTCCGCGCAAGATTCAACCGAGAGGGGGAAAAAAAATCGGTGTGAATTGCGATAACATTTTAACGCAACATCTCGCGACTTCTCTTTGCGCGCGAGTGTATCAAGAAAATTTAGTTGTTTTATTGTTTTGTTTTTTCCTATTTACACAAAGACACGCGCGTTTGGAAAAAATAAAAATCGAGATAAAAAAGCGTATCTCTGACGGACTGACTTTTCTTGTCGCATTCTTTCGCGGCGCCACACAGCAGCGTGTGTTTTTCTTGTCACAATGTCTCGTTTTGAGCGAAGTCGCGCAACTTTCGTGCATTTTAACAGACGAACCGAGAGAGAGGGCGATGTACCGGAGTTAACGTACGGGGGAAAAGGGAAAGAGGAGGGCGAGTTAAAAAAAAAAAAAAAGTCTCTTCCAGCGAAACTCGAAATTAATTCCAGGAAGGTACACCAGATAATTATGCACACGCGATGCCTTTATTATCCGCTGACGCCGTTTTGTCTACGGCGCATGTCGGGAACGAAATAAGTAGAAAACAAAGCTTTACACACTGCAGAGACTAAAAATTTCCATGGTTTTTCTGCCCGTAGAAAATTGTATGTATGGATGTTCACGTGCTTTGCGTAATGAGCAGACCGTTTCGGTATACACATCGAAAAAGAATATCG